GACGCCAGATTGGCCATGCTGGTCAGCGTGTCTGGATGGTCCGCTCCCAGCTTCTTCTTGCGAGTCTCCATCACTTGCATAAATAGCTCTTCCGCTCCATCCCATTGGCCCCTGAGACGATATGCATTGCCTACCATTTCCATGCTCCAGAGTGTATCTTCGTGATCTTGACCTAGTGTCTTTTTCCTTGCCTCCATCGCCTGCACCGACAATATCCCCCCTTCAACCCAATTTCCTATCTCCAAAGCATACCATGCCGCCCTATATAGTAGTGAACCCCAATCCCTAAGCGATCCTGGTTTCTCTGGCCGGTGTGCTGCCGCAGACATCGCGTGCGGGAACAAGGCCTGGCATACTACCCAATTCTCAAAATTTCCCGTCGGAAACGCTGCGCAAAGGTTGCTAATAAATTGCTGCTTCCACTTCTCAAGCTTCCCGTGAACATCCAGCCATTTTCGCGTTGCTAGCTGGACTAACCCATGCATTTCAAACAATGTACCATTTATATTGACTGAAATAAACGAGTAATCGCGTAGCATCAGAACATCGTCTTCAAACCCATTGCTTGCGCTTAATTGCGATGCGTTATCTTCGCCCTCAGCCCAATCGTCATCGTTGTTGTCGGGCTTGTCCTGGCCCTGCTTGCTGACTTCTTCCTCAGCACAACTTCGAAGTAGAGCCTCCGGAATTCCTTGGCGGTCGTAGAAGCTCATAAGCGCTAGCAAACTAGCTGCGGACGGTCTGATGCGGCGGATGTAGTCAAAAGATATATGCCAAGTGATAATAATGGAGTTCTTGGCCTCCCAGTCCCGGCGGAGTTGTCCTCCTTCACAGTCAAGGAGACTTGTTCTCTTGCGGTCGCTCCTTCGGAAATCTTCAAGGTACTGTTGCACAGAGTAACGGGGCCGTCGCTGGGAGATATATGCCGCGGCTTGGACTATAGCAAGCGGCATAAACTCTAGGACGGCTGCAAGCTCGATGACTTCCTCACTGCTATCCTGCTGGCCTAACTTTTTCTGCAGAAGCGCGAGTGCATCACTTTTGTCCATAGGCTCGACTGCAATTATATCGCGCTGTTCCACCAGCTGCAGCGCCGCGCTTCTTCTACGTGTCGTAATCAAAACGGATCCGTTCTGGCATTGCGGAATGTAGGTTATGAGTGGCTGCGAGCGTTTGCCCTCTAAGCTATTGGTTTGCCCAACGCAACTGGCGCTTGGAGCCTCTAGTAGAAAGCTAGCATCGTCGACATTGTCAAGGACAAGAATCCATTTTCCATTCCTGTTGTCCCGCATCCAGTCATATACAAGCTTGAAGACGTTTGCTTGTGGGTCTTTCCGGTCGGCGAGCTTAACTCGGTCGGCAATGTCTTGGTAGCTCTGCTCGAGGCGGGCGGCGTTGCTAGCGTGCGCCCAGAAAACCCACGTCTCCGGCGATCGTTCAGCGGTGCGATAGCAGTGCTCGATAGCAAGCTGCGACTTCCTATTCCTAGCGTCAGGTCCGAGCACTCGACTAGGATGCCTCTATTGTAGCTTACCCCACACCTCCAAGGCCCACCAGCGCTATCCAAGCTGCTGGTGCCGCCGAGTATTTCTCTAGTATCTGATCGAGCAGCGTTTTGCGGTCGACGAAGTCTAGGTCACGCCGGAAGGGAATGGAGCACGAAGGGCTCGGAGGGGTCTCCGGCCGCACTATGGAGAGCGTCCGGTCAGCGTCGGCCTACAAGCACCAGGATCACCAGTAGTGACTTGCCAGGGTGGTAGTAGTAGTAGTTACTGTAACTTGTCTGCGTGCCTGCCTGGTGTTTTAGCATCAGCAGATGTTGAGGCCAATGAAGCGCACCGATTACGTGCGCAGTGCCTGACGCGCTGCCTATAACTGCCCCGTGATTGTTGGAGATCGTCCCGAACGCATTCGCGCCCGTGGAGACCGTGGATGTTTGGTCGGCCATCACAACCACAGAGTCTTACCATGCGATAGGTTGACCATCTGTTCTAGGACTTTCTCCTAAGGTGAGGGGCAGCAAAGGATGATATGTCTAATATGATGTCGCGATGTTCCCAGCTGCGGCTGAGAAGAGCGAACGCGACGTTGCGTACCCGCTCCGCATGCAGCCTTGGATCTTATTGGTTGGTTGTTCGACTGTGTAATCTTTGCTCCCATCCCCTCTCTTGGCTCACCTTAAGCTATTCGTTGGTTGCGGACTCGCGCCCATTGCACTTACAAGAGGGTGGAGAAGCTACGTCTTGAGTGGGTCACGGTGGGGCACTCAGTACTTAGAATAACCCTTAGTCTTCTCAAGCTACTGTTATTTTGCTTTACCCAAGAATGGCAGAAGCTTGCGGACTGGCGGATCTGCTTTTCGACCTTCCCCTCCCCAATCTCTAGCTGATAATGCAGCATCGTCTTTATACATGTACATGGTGGCGACAGGACCAAAACTTATCCGTGGGATGGAAATGGTAGGACGCTTTTTGGGGCCAAAAAAATCTCCTATCATGCAGGCTGCCCGCTGGCTCGTATCCCTTCGTTCGGCTACAATGCCGACTTCGCCGACTTCTTGCCCTTCTACAGGCCGAAGTTCATACCGCAGCAACTCACTATCGACGACCACTCAACCGCGCTCTTTCAAGGCCTGATTGGTATGCGCGAGGGAACCAAGGCGGTAAGGAATAAATGAGCGTACCCTTCCTTGCACAATAACCCTGCTGATGACGCATGGCGGCCTGCAACTGGTTTGTTTCTGTTCAACCCGGGGAACGTACTTAAGGAAATACAGAACCGCCCAGCTAAACCCACCGTTCTGAAAGTCAACAAGGCAGTGGGATATTGTTTGCAAAACAAATTACTGTAACGCCTGTAACAACAGTCGCTCTTTCATCGTTGCAAGACCTAGTTAAACAAGACGCTTCTGCGCTTAATAAGACAAGCTAACTGGGCCTACAAAGGCACCAACAGAAGCTCACAAGTCCTGCCTAGATATCATTTACTACATGCGCCCTTCTTTGAGGTGAGAATTGATTCTTGTCTAAAATAAACAACCAACAAACAGTGCGCTGAATAACTAGGTTAGTAATCCCAGGGCAGGAGAATGTAGTGACTGATATTAACATTAGTGAGGCATAAGCAAAGGGTGATGCGAAAGAGGAAGCTATCACAAGCAAGGGAGAACGCAGTCGCAAGCTTAAGAGTCCTGTGTCAGAGGCAGAAGCAGAGCTATAAGCACTGTAGAATGATAAGAGCTTAACAGTGGTGTTATAAAAAAAGAACTCTATCTCACTAATAAAAAATAAGTGTAATAGCCCGACGCAGCTAGCAAATGCCTGATAACAGTATTGAAGTTGAGGAAGAAGAAGAACCGTGTCCTAACTATGGAACTAGGTTTTATACCGCAAAACCTAATGTCCATCCTCGCAAAGCGAAAAACCATCCGCGCTGAAAAATATAACAGATACTCTTACTTTAAATAGTTAAAACTCAACGCACATGTTAGCATTTGCACTAAATCTATACTAGTTGTATACTATAATCACCTTTAAGTATTCAGAACTCTTATAGCTATAAATTACGCTCGCATTATTGTTTTCGCGTCTAATTCGCCGAGAGCCTTGTTGCATAACGTATTGATATCTATAAAGCCTTTGGTAGGCGCGGAAATATAAGGAACTAGATTGATTGTTAAAGGAGTGCATCTAGGGGTCTCTATATATGCAATAAAAGAGGTAAGCCTTAGCAACATACAACTATTGTGTGAGATATGCAGAGTATTGCAAACACATTTAAAAAGAAGTACGTTATATATACATTTAGTATGCATGCGAATAGCTTATTTCCTACATAGAATTAGCGCTAAATTGCTTTCTGTGGAGGATAAAATAGCCTGGCAGTAGCTGTTCAGAAGATCGGATGAAGTGACTCTGCTATCTAAGAGAGCTGAAGGCTCTCCTTATATACACCGAGCTTCGGAACATAATATCTCCAGATCCCGAGCTGCGTCCCAGGCTCTGAGCCCCAGTCCCAGGCTCCGAGCCCCAGCCAAGGCTCTCTGTATACGCGACACTTTCTAAGCAACTTCTATTTATAGATTATAGTACTAATATTTATTACTAGTAACGTACTTCACAGGCGAGTTGCTCACACACCTAAGTCGCTTACTTTTGCTAAGACCCTACTAAACTACTCTTTCTACACTAATGCATTCCCCACAACACTACTTAGACGCGCTAAAAGAATGTTAGATACAGCTTACACTCTAAGCTTTTAAACAAGACATAAAACTCTTAAAGAAATGTGCTATAGCTATGTGCAAGGTCCTATAAAAGACAATAAATAACTATAGCGCTAGATAACCTTTACAAGCTAATTCTACAGCTAAATTACAGAGGCTAGGTAATAAAAAGGAGTAGGTAATTGTTAAGACTATACTTAAGCTATAGGCGCAAGGAATTTCCCCTTAGATAGCATTTATAGCTAATATAGCTAATTCTTTGCGCGCTAAGCGTAATCTAGGCTATATTTGCATAAACTAGCCTAGTATATTTATAAAGTGTTATTTAAAGCTTAAAGTAAAGTTTTAAGCGCAAGTATAGTTAAGAGATATTTAGCTAATTATAAACTCTATTTTGCTAAAGTTGTACATGTTATTATCCTAGATACTATACTTAGCTTTAATATTCTCTACAAGGCTAAACCTGCCCTAAATTACCCTAGGACTCTTATAGAAAGCTCTCTAATAGTTATACTTACACTTAAATATTACTTTAAGCTTTAAATAACACTTTATAAATATACTAGGCTAGTTTATGTAAACATAGCCTAGATTACGCTTAGCGCGCAAAGAATTAGCTATATTAGCTATAAATGCTATCTAAGGGGAAATTCCTTACGCATATAGCTTAAGTATAGTCTTAACAATTACCTGCTTCTTTTTATTACCTAGCCTCTATAATTTAGCTATAGAATTAGCTTATAAAAGTTATCTAGTGCTATAGTTATTTATTATCTTTTATAAAACCCTACACATAGCTACAGCATATTTCTTTAAGAGTTTTATGTTTTATTTAAAAGCTTAAAGCGTAAGCTGTATCTAACATTCTTTTAGCGCGTCTAAGTAGTGTTGTGGGGAATGCATTAGTGTAGGAAGAGTAGTTTAGTAGGGTCTTAGCAAAAGTAAGCAACTTAGGTGTGTAAGCAACTTGCCTGTGAAGTACGTTATAGAACTTATTAGAACCTTTATTTATATTTATAATATTCTTTAAAGAGTTGCAAGAGAGGATTCTATAGAATTCTTCTCTTTTCTATTTATTAATTGTATAAGGTAGACGCTCTGCCTGCAAAATTAATACTATAACGTACTTTACAGGCAAGTTGCTTACACACCTAAGTTGCTTACTTTTACTAAGACCCTACTAAACTACTCTTTCTACACTAATGCATTCCTAACAACACTACTTAGACGCGCTAAAAGAACATTAGATATAGCTTATAATGTAGGCTTTTAAATAAAATGTAACACTTTTAAAACAACATGCTGCAGCTATGTACAGAGTCTTTTAAAAGATAATACATAACTTACGCACTAAACAACCTTTACAGGCTAATTCTATAGCTAACTTATAAAAGCTAGGTAATAATAAGAAGTAGGTAATTATTAAGCCTACGCTTAAGCTATATGCGCAAGGATTTTCCCCTTAGCTAGCAGCTATAGCTAGTATAGCCAATTTTTTACGCGCTAAGCATAATCTAGGCTATATTAGTATAAACTAGCCTAGTATATTTATAAAGTGTTATTTAAAGCTTAAAGTAAAGTTTTAGGCATAAGTATAGTTAGTAAATATCTAGCCTATTGTAAAGCCTCTTTTGTTAAAGTTGTATGTGCTGTTCTTATAAATGCTATACTTAGCTTTAGTATTCTTTATAAAGCTAAACTAGCTCTAAATTACCTTAGAATCCTCTTAAAAAGCTCTTTTATAGTTATACTTACACTTTAACTTTACTTTAAGCTTTAGATAACACTTTATAAATGTACTAAGCTAGTTTATGCTAACATAGCTTAGATTATGCTTAGCGTGTAAAGAATTAGCTATATTAGCTACAGCTACTAGCTAAGAGGAAAATCCTTATGCATATAGCTTAAGCATAGGCTTAATAATTACCTACTTTTTGTTATTACCTAGCTTCTATAAGTTAGCTGTAGAATTAGCTTATAAAAGTTGTCTAGTGTGTAGGTTGTTTATTATTTTTTAAAAGACTTTATACATAGCTGCAGTAGATTATTTTAAGAGTGTTACATTTTATTTAAAAGGCTAAAGTGTAAGCTATATTTAATATCCTTTTAGCGTGTTTAAGAAGTGTTATTAGAAATTCATTAGTGTAAAAAAGGTAGTTTAGTAGAGTCTTAGCAAAAGTAAGCAACTTAGGTGTGTAAGCAACTTGCCTGTGAAGTACGTTACAACTTTCCCTACTATACTAAAAGGTACGCACAAGAATACTTAAGCTAAGTATTTCTCGCATAGTATAATATATATATAATGCTAGGGCTAGCACTAGCACTAGCGGTTGCCTCTAGTCTAGCCTAAACCTTTATAAGCAAGAGAAGGCCACGTGGCTAACTGTGTATACCTTGTTACACTATCTTCTCTCTTAATAGTCTTAGTCTTTAAGCTATAAGACTAAGGATATATATCGACTCTACTTTAATTATAGCCTTTGCTATAATTTAAGCTAGAGTAATTACTAAAACTTAAACTCTTAACCTTTAAGTAGCTTAAGTATTATGTAATAAAGTAAGCGCTCTGCGTGTAAAATTAATACTATACAACTTTCTCTACTACACTAAAAGGTATGCAAAAGAATACTTAAGCTGAGTATTTCTTACACAGTATAATATATATAGATATAGATCATGCTAGGGCTAGCACTAGCACTAGCAGTTGCCTTTAGTCTAGCCTAAACTTCTATAAGTGAGAGAAGGCCACGTAGTCAACTGTGCCTACCTTGTTAGAGTAATAACCTACAACAAATAGATTAAAATACTTGTAAATACTATATTAGTAATTAGAAGCTTATAGAATATTGTTTGCAGTGGTGACACTCGAATGCGTCGTCACCGTAGTCGCGCGATAGTCGGAAGTGTCGTCACACGATGGTCGGATGCGTTAGCACCATAGTCGTATGCATCTCAGCACAGTCTGTTGCCAAGACCCACCCACTTATTTCGCATATATATAGACTCCTACAAAGGACTCCTCTAGCAATACATTTAATGCAGTTCCTCATGTCTCTAGTGCCTCACATAGCTTCACAAATATTCTATACTTTTAAGCAAAGAAAGAGAATGTAAATAAAGAAGAGAAATCTCTTTTCTAGCAAGTGTAACAGCGCAGGCAAGACAATGGGTCTGAATGCGGTAGGAATCCACTCAGAGACATATGGGAGTTGTCAGATTGAAGCACTGTTTCTGGGCTTCCTGAGATGAATGATGGGTTTGGATATGATGTATGGGATGATGATTGATTGTATTGATTTATCGACCCTTTTTCTGCTCTACTCGTGTTGCTCGGCTTTTTGTTTTGCCGATCTGAGTCCCTCGCGCACTTGCCCTATGCGCGACCAGCTTGCAACATGCTGCAATTTGCAGCAACATACTGTTCGAGCTTATTGCTCGTACTATGTAGCAGCTTTCGTCAAAAGTTCCTCCTGTCTTGACAGTAGGTGCGCATGTAAGGACAGGGCTCCGCACCACTCCGCCAATACAACCAAAAGGTACGAATAATCAACCAACGTTGATTTTCGGGTGCAGAATAGTATATATACCTGTCGCACGTAAGCGCCATCTCGGCCTTACAGCGCATATCTGACACACCCCTTCAGCTTAGACATGCTTCAAGCTGGTTCCTGATTGCGCAATCTTAGTATGCTTCTAGGGCTTCTATTCTTGCTTCAATCTCTTCCATATCCGCTTCCTAACTGACTATCCTCTCCCTGACGTCAACTAGCCGAATTTGCTGAAGAAAGCTTGGCCATTTGCTGGCTGGAAGCGCTTTAGTGAGTCCGTCTGCAAGCATCTCGCTAGAGGGGACATAGACAACCTTAATTGTTTGTTAAGAGACTTCCTGTTAGAGCTAGTAGTTATAAATGTTAACATGTTAGAGCTTAGTTTAAAGTTAAGATATCTCTTTGTTTACTAGTTAAATTGTCTACTTGTTGTTGCACTAAATTATAATAGTTAAATTAGGCAGCTTAACCTATAGTTTATTAAAGAGCATTTTTATAAACATAGCTTCCTTAGCAACTTAAGACAGTGCAAGTAAATCTGCTTCTGTTGTAGACATTGTAACTGTATCTTATTTATTTACTTACTAACGTACTTCATAGGCGAGTTGCTCACACACCCGAGTCGCTTACTTTTACTAAGACCCCACTAAACCACCCTTCCTA